CCCCCCCCTCGCCATAGCGCTCTGGTTGGGCGTGTCAAACACCAAATAAGCAAATAAATGGTAACATGCGCGGGCTCCACCGCTGCGCATGAGATCGCGCCTCGCACGGTTGCTGTGAAACGACAATACCACTATCCGACGACTTGACATAACATGGTTGTAGCCAGGTTACACCCCCTTGTTTCCCTCCACACACCCCAATGGTTACCTCTGGAGGCCGCGCTGTTCTTCGGAACAGACTTCCCGAATAGTATATTTCGGAGCATGTCGCGTTTTCTTGTCCGCATGGGGACGGCTTTGAGGAGGAACGGGTCGTTGGCTTGCTGCTGTCTCAGCCTTGTTGAGAACGACATAAAAAGTAGGACATCGTCGCCAGGGAGCAACAAAAAGGGGTAGGTTAGGTAGGGGTGGGTGGAGAGAGACAAGTGCTGACAAACGTCGGGAGGGGGGGGGGGGGGGGGGGNGGGGGGGGGGGGGGGGGGGGGCGGGCACGCCGCAAAGCTGGAAGGAAGAGAGAGAGAGAAAAGCAGAGGATGAGCGAGCGGCAAAGCCAACGTCAAACGCGATCTAAGCATTCAATGCCGCCGAGCGGTGGAACGCTCGCGGTCTTCTTTACAATACTACCCTCTTTGATAAGTATACTCGAGGGGAAGTTGCAAGGATTCATGGTGCTGACCACAGGCCGGAACGATAGTTAAACGTCAAGACAACACCAACAACAACAACCCTCACCTCCCCCCCTCCAGCGCAGCCTGCACGGCGCGGACAAACTCCTGTCGGTCCAAACCTCTGCCTTCAACGCTCCCCGAAACCTTCATCGCCACCTGCCACGAAACCCCCCGCCCCCCGCACCCGCATGTTTTATCCAAACACGTTGTCGTGTCAATATTTGCGGTAAGCTCCGTCGGAGGGCATTGACTGCTGGCGGATTCTACCGCCCAGGACGACCATCTCTCTCGTCGGCAGTACGCAAGGAGAGAACATGCCTGTTTGTGTTAACACACGCCCGCACCACGTGACTGTTCACCTCCCGGGGGGGCCCTAGTATGTGTGTGCAGACGTATCGCACAGCTGCACCCCAAGCACCTGTCTGTGTGTTTGTGCAGGTGTGTTTCTTCTCGCCTTTATTGTTCTGGCGCCAGTCTAAACACTTTCGGTGTATACGTTGGACGTATTGGCCGGGGTTGGAGAAAGATCACACCCGATGTTTCCTTTATATCCGCGGAAGGACGGAGGAGGAAGAGTTAGTCCCCGCATGCATTCAAACACACACGAAACAATTACACCCGCGCGTCCCGCTCACCCACGCACCGTCCCCCCCAGTACACCGGAAACCACAGCACGACCCAGCGAGTCGGCCTCCTGCCTCCACAGACAGTGAACAAACCTCTACGCAAGTGCTTTTTTCGAGAAAAAATCGACCGCAATCACCCGGGTCAACTAACGACAAGACTCAACCTCAGAGCTATACGACCCTGTATAGCTGTGTAGAGACTCCAAGCACCGCTCTTTCTGAGAAATAACTCGAACGAGAAGTCAGTCTTTCTGTGGGGTTTGATACAGATCATCTCTTGCAAGAACAATGCCGAGTGACTCGGTACAGCAGTACGGCAGGGGGCCCGGTCTAGCGACCCCCTGTTTAGCGACATGGCCTGTTTCGCGACCACAAAACCACGTCACACCGACGCACCCCCGTAGTATAACTGCTATGCTATATATGTAATTGGTACATGTAAATAGTTCGGTTTAGCAGCCTGCCCTGAATAGCGGCCACACTTCGTCGTGACACTGCTGAAGGGGTCGCTAAACCGGGACCCCCACCGTAGGTTTATGGAACGTTGATGGTGGGAGCTTTGCCAAAGCAAGGCAATGTGTGTCCCCGAAGGCGTCTCTCGTTGGCTCACCTCCATCTCGGGCAAGTGCTGGAGCACCTCTTGAAACGCCAGAAAGTCTTCGAGCGAGATGTCCACCTGTGAGAAACAAAACAAACGTACGTACGTAAACGTACGTACGTACGAACGTGAGTTGTTCAGGGTGGAAAATTATGTGGAGGCATGTCACACTGAAAAAAACGGCTAGGGTTAGCCACCGTTTTCCTGCTGTCAACGAGTGCATGCGACATGTTTTCGAAGAAATAATAAAAAAAAAATCGAGGTGTGTGACGAAAAACACAAACGACGGGTTCATCTTGTCGACGACAGGCAACGTTCATAGTCACTGATTGTTTAAGTTCCGCCCATTCCTCGCCTCGCGTGTCCTCCAAAACGACCAAAAGACCGCTGTCCCACATAACCCACAGCAGAGTCCACCGCACCCCCACACAAACGCACCCCAAAAACAACTGTTGTGTTAGAGCACAACAGCAGCAGCAGCAGCAGTGATCTCCCACAAGCTGCTCCCTGTTCCCGCTACCACATCTCCCTTCAGAGTTGTCGGAACCATTCTCCAACAACGACGCCCTCCCCTTCAAGGGCCCCCGCCCCAAGGAGCTATCGAGTGATACCCCCACCACCACGCAGATAGACCCTCGAAGCTCTCGATAAGCGTCCGCCTACATGACCCCCGCTTCTTGCCTCCCGTTTCCCATTATCGTTCCCCACCCCCCCGCTGTTTCCCATCATCGTCCCCCCCCGTTTCCCATCACCATTCCCGCGTGGCGCACCTTCAAGTCGGAGATAGCTTCCGATTCCGCGCGCCGCATGTACTCCTTATACATGTTTCGGTCCGTGTTCACCTGGGAGGGAAAAGCAGAAAAAAGCAAAGCAACGTCACGCATGGATTGGTAGGTTACAGCATCGTTTTCGAGGTACCGAGGTCACTTAATTTACTACTTGGGAAAAAAAGGAACAAAATAAAACCAAGAAAAATGGCGAGAGGGACTTGGCATCACTCGTTCCTCCTGCGCTACAATCGCCCATGCTTCCTCAGGTACGAAGAAGTAAATACTCCCTCGGTCGTGTGGGGTGTGCTGCCTTGCACACCCTGTCTGGGTGCATCTGCACTCCAATTCAAAAACGTCGCGTCTCTCTCAGGAGACGCTCACAACGCTCCACTTAGGCCCATCTCGGTTGGTGCCAAGGTACCTCAGAGCTAGCTGTGGGGCACGCAGTGTCGAAGGTTTCACCCGATGAAAGCATCTATTTGGGAGATTTTGGAGATTTTGGTGAATTGGTCGCGGTTCGTGCTGATCAGATCCCTCATGGTGACATCGTGACATCATCGCTACAGCAAAACCTTCGGATAGATGGATTGGTCCCAGGAACGGTGCTGTTCAAGACAAAAGTGAACTATATCGAAAAAAGAAAAAAACGAAACGGTCCATTGTCGTTATTTTTTTTTTGTTGGAGGACAGGTCAAACACAGCCCACCTGCACAGCCACAACAATCAACATCAACCAACAACAACAACAACAAGACCTTGGTGACCAAGAACTTGGCGAAGCCCGTCGCGCTGAGCATGCCGCCCCCCCGCTCGTCACACTGGTTGAACTGCATCACGAGGGCCTCCCGCTGGAGGAGACGCACGAACATGCTGAACTGCTCAAAGGTAAGCTTGCCGCTCCCGTTGCCGGCGAAGAAGAGCCTGTCCGCGACGTCTGTTTTTTTTTTTTGTGGGTGGGGGGGTGGGGG